ATGGGTCCACTGCCTGGTGGTTAAGTTTGCCATAGTTTCTTCGGGGTATGTGTCTGCGGCCCGAGTGAGGTTTTTGGGGAAGGGGGGTCATGTGGGGGAGGGGAGGGGAGTGGGAGGCTGAGGGCGGTGCGGGAAATGGTTGGGACAGGGGTGGTGGGTCAGTCGTGAGCGTCATTTCTGTCAGGTAGGATTTCTGTGTCTAGTCGGGCAGCGAAGTCTGCCTTTGTGGTGGATACGATCCAGGGCGTTCCGGTCTCCATGTACTTTTCGGTGGTGTTAGTCGCCCCCGTGTGTAGTTCTTCTATCGCCCTGGGTGAACCATGTCTTGAGTGGAGGGGTCCTATCTTGTTTCTAGTATTGGGGTATGACCTGTTTGCCACATTTAGGATTCTAATGGTCATGGATCTGGGTATGGTCGTGTGGTGTAGGAGCATTGCTGCTGGCTCCAGTGGTGGTGGCGCGTCTGAGAATTTCTCTAGGATGTCATGTATGCCCACCCAGAACGGTTTAATTCTGTGGCATTCCCACCACAGGTGTAGTGTAGTGCCCTTTTCCTCTCCACACCTCAAGCATAGGTTGGAGTGTGAGGGGTCAATTGCGTGTAGTATATTTGGGGTACGATACCAGTAGCTCAACAGTTTGAATGCCATTTCTTGTGTCTTGGTGAAGGTAGAGCAGTGGTGTGTGAGATAGCATATTTTTTCCCACTCTGTCTCGGTAAAAGTCCTCCCCAGTACTGTTTCCCATTTGCCCTTGAAGGCTGGCGTCTCTGTCTGGGTCTCCCTTTGTAGTAGTGAGTACAGGAATGAGATGCCATAGGGTAGTGGGTCTGGGTGCATACAGCACTCTTCGAAGGTAGTCAGGTTCCTAGCATGGGCTCGTCCCACGGGGAGGGAATCTATATAGTTCAAAAGTTGTTTGTATTTAAAGGTTTGTAGGAATGTAGGGGGTTCGTTCTCTATCAGGTCAGGTAGTGTTTTCTGTCCCGAGTGCGTGTAAATGTGATGCAATCTGGGGATGGGTGTATGGATTATGTCCCTAAAAGCGTTTGTGTCAAAGCCGGGGGGGAAGTCGTGATTGTGTGTTAGGGGTAGCAGAGGTGAAGGGTGTTGGGTCAGTCCGTGTGTCCGTGACGCCCTGTGCCATACTCGTAAGGTATGCTGTGCTAAGGAGGAGCAGCCCCGACTGAGCCCCCCCGGAGCACCACGGTAGGACCGATACTGGTCCTGCCGGCTCCGTCTCTTCCACCGCCTTCCATAGTTTGTGTACGTTGGTCTTGGTCCATTCCATGACTCTTTGTAAGTGTCCTGCTGTGTAATATAAGTGGAAATCTGGGATGGCCAGCCCTCCCCTCTCCTTGGGTTGTGTGAGGGCCTGGAACTTAATCCTTTTCCCATTCCATATGTAGCTACCTGTCATGGAGTGCAAAGTGGTAAAGAATACTTTGGGTATCGTTATGGGGAGCATTTGGAACAAATAGAGTAGGTGTGGGAGGAGGTTCATTTTGATAACTTGAATCCTCCTGTGAAGGATCTCTTAGACTTACCTGTGTGCCTTCAGTTATATCCTCTCCCTGCTGTTTAAATACTTGTATTCTGTATTCGGTTCATGGGTTATGTATGTGAAAGCTGGTATTCGTCTACCGAACAATAGACCACCTACCCTGGGTAGCAATCAGCCTTAGAACGGGGAGAAAATCACAACTTAATTGCTCCTGGGTGGCCGCCATTCGGCATTCGAACACGTGGCGAGAACAAAGGATGTCGGCCATCTTAAAACTCACGAATGCGGTCAGCGGGGCGTACGCATGAATTGCCGGTCTTCATGGAAGTCCTGGATGTATACATTCTTCTCCACGAATCAAACTGGCATTCGGTAGATAGAATCTACCGAACGAGGGCAACATTCACATGTAACCAGCTGCACCATACGAACAGTGGTTTTCGTGTAGTTAGATGCGAACGGAGACCGGCTCTTGCTACTGATTCTATGGAACTCTAGCTCGGATACCTCCACATGGCGAGCCGGTCAAACTTCCACACGATGTGACATGGAAACTACCGAATGGAAATTCGTGAGATTTGGATATACGACTACCAGTATCCTCAGCTACCCAGGGATGTTAAAATTATGTTTGTATGTAATATAAAAAGTACTTTTCTGAAATTGTTAAAAACTGTAATGTTTCTAGCCAGCAGATAATTGAGCTTTGTATATTGTTGAAACTCAATTATCTAGCCTGGCCCAGAGGAGGAGTTTTGTATTGCATAAATTATTCTGTGTGCCAGTAAATCAGTGTTGTTCCAGCATTAAGCTTTGGCTCATGTGTGGATTATTCGGCGATTCCAGGGATATTTCTACTTGTGGAATATTGGGTGATTTTCTTTTATGGGAAGAAGGGAATGCTTGACGGTGTTAACATAAACTACTGTCACACCTCCCCAGCCATGAAATATGTGGGTAGGACCATTCTGTTAGTTCTCGCCTGAACAAGTTCAATATGGGGGTAAAGTTTTCCCTGTATAGGTCCTCCCTCTGTTTGGTCAGCCACGTTCCCAGGTAGCATATTTTGTGTTCTGCCCACTGGAAGGGGAAACTTGCGCATAGGGGGGAGGCTCGACCATTGGGCAGGTCAGCGTTCAAGATGTATGATTTGGAGTAATTTATTTTTAGATTGGAGATGACTCCAAATGTTTTAAAGGCTTGAAGTATGTTGGGGAGAGAAACGAAAAAAAGGAGGTCGTCTGCATAGGCGGCCACTTTGTGGTGTGTGTGTGTCCCACTTGTATGCCTGTGATGTCGTGGTGCTGTCTGATTGCTGTCAGGAAGGGTTCAAGGGCAAGGATAAAGAGCAACGGGGATAGGGGGCAACCATGACAGGTGCCATTATGTACGGGGAACTCTTCTGTCAGTGCCCCGTTCACTATCACGTGAGCCGTGGGCCCGTCGTACATGGCCTCGACCCATCTGCGCATTTGGGGTCCGAGTCCCACATGGGTAAGGGTCTGGAACAAGTAATCCCATCCCACCCTGTCGAAGGCCTTCTCTGCGTCAGTAGATAGCAGAAGAAGGCCCCCGGTGTCCCTTTTCTTGTTGTGCATGTGGGCGATGGCCCTTATGGTCTTATCTCTCACCTCACGGTTTGCTACGAACCCGACCTGGTCTGGGTGGACCAGCATGGGGATATGTGGCTGCAGGCGCATGGCCAAGATCTTTGCCATCAGTTTGATATCGCAATTGATAAGGGAGATGGGCCTGTAGTTCCCACAGTGCTCTCCGTCCTTGCCCTCTTTTGGGTTGATGGTTATGTGCGCCGTCAACGCTTGCCTGGGGAAGTGGTGGTCCTCTCTCACCGCGTTAAACGAGGCCAGCATCGGTTGGTATAGTTTATTGAAAAAATTCACAAATCTGAAGAAACCCCTCAGATGTGTAAATGATGACTGGAAATTTGAATAAATAGATAATATCAACGTACAAAAATAAAAATGGTTGGTGAATATATCAGAAAAAAGTCAAAAAACGATCAATACATAAACCTCCACAGCTTAAATAGCTGTACCTCCCTGATGTCTATGTTAATTAATGTCAAATCAGACTCATGACTTTAATGTTATATTTTAGTGTCAATGTCTGAAACACATAAAGATACAAATATCATAGACAGCAATTCTAATTACACACAGCATTTGTATCAAAATATCAGATGCTCTGCAAAAATGCAACAGAATAATGCTGCTGCCTCGTTATTTAAATTATGCTATGATATTCCTGTGATTCTATGGGGTGAAAATAACCTGTTACATACTGATCAACAGGTTTGCCATTTGTATAACTGTATGTGGGATTAACTTCATTGTCTAGATACCCAACAGATACAAAGTATTCAGTCCGTTAAAATAGAATAAAAAATTGCCGGACTGATCGTGGCTGCCTGTGATACCAGATATAGAAACGGGTATGTTATGATTCACTCCCCCATGGTATATAGAAAGAATAATCGGTGGGTATAGTTTGTCTGCGAAGCGTTTATAACAGCAGAGCGGCAGGCCATCTTACCAGGTTTGGTGTGCTTTATTGTGAGTGCCAGTTTTCCTCTATTGAGATAGGTTCATCTAGTTGGTCTGTGACCTGCTTATCTAATGTGGGTAGTTTGTGTGTCAGCATGTATTGTTGGATGGAGTTTCTTAAGCGTGTAGTCGCTGTTTCTGACTGTGGTTGGGGGAGCGAGTATAGCTCTGAGTAGTAAGCTCTCACTGTTTTCAGTATCTCTGCCGGTAGGCGGCGTACTGAGCCCTGTTTGTCCCTGATTTTGTCGATATAGGTCGTCTGTCGTCGTTTCGCCAGCATTCTAGCTAAGAGTTGGCCGCTTTTGTTTCCATGCAGGGAAAAAAAGCCTTAAGTCTGATCACGTTCCTGTGGTGTTTGGAGTGGAGTAGTGAGGTAAAGTCACGTCGTAGTTGTATTAGTCGTGCTTGGTGGGATGGGTGTTGTGTCGTGTTTGTGTATGTCCTCTACAATTTCGGTAAGTCGGGCTTCTCTTTGTTTTTTAAGTACTGCACCTTTTTGTTTGAAGTGTCCCCGTATTACGCTCTTGTGTGCTTCCCACCTGATCGTCGGGGGGGGGGTATCCTCTGGTGCGTTGTCCTGGAAGTAGTCAGTCAGGACCTTCCCAAAGTGTTCGGTGAGGTCCGGGCGGGACAGTAAGTATTCATTTAGTCTCCATTTGGCTATTGCGGGTCTAAGGAGGGGGGATTTAAGCGTGAGGGTGACGGGGGCGTGGTCCGACCATGTTGCCACCCCTATTTCCACGTCCCGTACCAAGGGAAGGTGATACTGTGTCATGAGAAAGTAATCTATGCGGGTGTATGTCCGGTGGGGGTGAGAGTAGAAAGTGAAGTCTCGTTCGTCCGGGTGGTGTGCTCTCCAGCAGTCAACTAGCCTGTGTTTGGTCAGTAGGGATTTGATCGAGTTGAGATGCTGTTTGGGGATGTGCGACGTACCTGTGGAACAGTCCCAGATCGGATCCATTGCTATGTTTAAGTCACCCTCTATTATGAGGACCCTCTCGGCGAAGGAGTGTAGTTTGTGTAGGGTACGTTTAAGATAGCGGTAATGTTTACCATTTGGCGCGTACAGTGTGGCGAAGGTGTATAAGTGTTCAGCTACTGTGCCTTTTATAAAGAGGTATCTACCCTCCCGGTTTGTCATGCTTGCCTTCTCTATGAACGGCACCTTTTTGTTGATCAATATTGCCATGCCCCTGGATTTTCCCCCGTGGAAGTCGCTATAGTACCTTAGAGTGAAGTGGTGGTTGGTCAGCTTGGGTCATCCCCCTCCCGAAAGTGGGTCTTTTGTATCATTACTATTGAGGCTTTCTTTGCATGGAAGTCCCTCAGTGCCCCTGTCCACTTCTCCGGCTTGTTGAGCCCTTTGGCGTTTATGGAGAGGATGGTAAGATCGCTCGGTATCAGTGTCATGCCTGTCGTGATGGAGCCTAAGGTGTTGGTGTGCTGGTGTAGTCCTGTTAGTGTGTCTCGGGGGTCTGTCAAATCGTCAGGTTGGGGGGGAGTCAGAGGCGCCGGGGAGGGGGGTGGGGAGGCACGCGGGGCAGGAGTGGGACGGGGAGGGGAAACTATGTACAAAAAAGACCTTGTCACTCGTGATGTTTAGGAACGAGCGTCGGAGGACAAGGCTAGGCGGAATGCACCAGTGTACTGCCAAGTCTCGCCCGCCTTCCTGTGGGCACCCAGTCCTATTGTGGAAAGTGGAGGAGGCCGGGAGCCTCCGTGCAGGCCCTATCCGAGGGGCCCGGGACCCCAGCAGCTCCTGGTACCGTCCGGTCCCGAACTTCTCCCGAACTGGACCTCGCCCGAAGCCCTCGTCTCCCCTGTGGCTTCAAATGTTATTGTTGAGTGTATATTCTATCCTCGTCCTACTCTGTGGTGGCCTAAGGCCACTAACGGGTAAAGTGTTTTGCTCCGCCGGGTGTTGGAGATTTTGCGGTGTGTAGCCCGGTAACGTGTAACAACAGCATATTACATGATAACTTTAACATAGTTAATAACATCTCATCCCAGCCCTGTGGCACCAGGTTCCCCACCACCCCCCCACCCATTGGAGAAGTTGGGTTTTTGCATAGCACTAGTGTGTGGGTGTGTGTGGGTACCTGGTCCGTGGTCCTAACGGATTCCATTTACAATCCCCCCCGCCCCCTATCGTTATTGATCTCTGACCATGATCCCCCACCCAGGTTAGGCCGCAGTCCGGCTCCTTCTATCTCCATCCCTTGGGGGTGTTCGCTCCACAGTTGAGCCCCGTCGGCGCCGGCGCCCCCGCCACTGCTGCCCATCGACTCCTCGCAGGGCCGCAAGCACCCCAGTGGCGCGACCCAGCCAGAGAGCCCCCCCTCCCCTTACATCAGGAGGCCCCTCGGTGATCCACTGTAAAGTATATGTGTGGCTTAGGGTACATCTATGTGGGGCCGTCTAGAGCATGGTTGGGTGTGTGGGGCGGAATACCCGGTAATACGGCCAGGCAAGGAGCAAGCTTACATTAGTTCTAGTTACATCCCCCCCATCACAAGCTATCAGTCCAATTAAGTAGCTCTACGTGCAATGTCTCTCAACCCGGGTGGTCACGGTCCCTCAGCCCCATTGGGCAGGTGGCAATACTTGCGGTTAGGCATGGTGTCAGTGAGGCCCCTTGGTTCAGGAGGTAGCCCCTGATTGGCGTATGGTCTGGGCCCGGGGTCTCCGTTGTCTGTGGCACTGTCCCGGGGTGGAAGGAGTAGAATGCCATCGGGTCTGGCCATGTCATATGTATGGGTGGCAGTTGTAGTTCCACGATCAAATCCGCCAGACCCTCCAGGTTCCTCACCACAAACGGGCCATTAGGAGTAGAGGCCTGCAGTCCTGTGGGAAAATTCCAACGGTAGCGTACTTTATTGGACTGTAGGACCCGAGTTATGGGTTTTAGTGCTCTCCTATACGTCAGGATTGCTGGGGATAAGTCCGGTTACAATTGCAGTAGTATGCCATTCAGCAGGACTTGGTCCATGTCTTGGGCCTTTCGTAGGATATCTTCCTTCAATTGATAGCTGGCCAGGCAGCAGATTGTGTCCCATGATGGGGACTCTGGTGGGCCCCTGGGTTTCAGTGCCCTATGTGCCCTTATAAACTCGATATGGGTAGGAGCAGGGCGTCCGAGCAGTTTGTTAAAAAGTTCTGTGAGGGCTGTGCGGATCGGGGTGTCCTGGTCTAAGTCCTCGGGTATCCCCCGGATCTGGATATTTTGCCTGCACCCTCTATTATCTAGGTCCTCGAGGTGCAGGGCCATTTGGCGTAGTTGCGCTTCATGCAGCTGACGTGTGTTTGTGGTAGCATTCTGTGTGGTGGTTAGGTGATCGCTGTCCGCCTCTAGCTGGGAAACTTTTTGGTGCAGGCCCTGGAGGTCTTCGCGGAGGGAGTGAAGCTCTGCTGTAATATAGTTATGGAGCTCTGTATTCGCCTCCTTGAGGTCTATTTTAGTGGGTAGTGCCCGCATCAGTGTCACCCATTGCGATGTACTCTCCGGGTGGGAGAGGGTTTGAGGCGGTACTGTAGGTTGTTCCGAGCTTGGGGAGTGTGGGGCCCACGAGGTCCCGGAGTCATTTGAGGCCTGTGATGTCAGGTCTGCCGGGGTTCTCAGGTATTTGTGGAGCGAGGAGGCCGGGGTTTTCTTGGGTGTGTCGGCGGGCTTACCGACATGGGATGATCGGTGAGTTTTACCCATTTTGTTGCTTCTGTGAGAGGATGGACGAAGATTTGCGGCAAGCCTGCGGGAGCACTCGGTTTAAGCTGCCATGTCTCTCGGACTCCAAGCCACGTCCCCAGGACATGGGTTTTGTAGAAGGGGTCAGGACAGGGGTTTTATATAGTTTACATATCTGTGCAATTTAAAAATGAAAAAACATTGCTGTGGTGGAGGGGAGGGACAGGACAAACACAGTATCGCCAGGTGCCAAATGTTCTAGGTACAAATACTGTGAAAAGCAGTGTGTGTGATTGTGTGTATGTATACTGAGTGTGTATAGCAGTGTGTGTATACGATGTCTATGTGTGTGTATGTGTATCAGTGTGTCATTGTGTGCAAACTGTCTTGAGTGTGTGTGTTTAGCAATTTGTGCATAGTGTGTCAGAATATGAGTCTATACAGCAGTGTGTCATGTCTAAACTATCTAAGTGTGTGTATAGTAGTTTGCACATGCTGTATCTGAGTGTGTGTATAATGTGTCTGTGTGTGGTAGTGTCTGTCATTGTGTGTATACTGGGGGGTCATTGTGTCTATTTCAATATGCGTTCCTGCAATGTATAATAAGCTGGATATACAATTGCCACTCTCGAAGAGGCTAGTTAGAGAAAAATACCGCCTTTTGCATTGTCAGTCTTTTTACGATACTTGCACTTGCCAAACAGCCTCAAATACTGGCCAGGTGGCAACCCTAATCTATATGTATTAGTGATTTCCTCTGTACACTTCATATATAAGTCCCTGACTGATTTGGGGCAAGAAATCAGACTGATATTTTTATGAGTCAAAACCAGTGTTCCCTGGCTTTTGTATGGCTCGTCACTATTTGGATAAACACACCTTTTGCGAAGCTCCACCTCTTTTATAGGCTGAGATAAATAATTTTTGTCCACTACTTCCCCCTGGTGGAGAAATAAGGAGACGGACTATATTCATACATACCTCACAACAATTCTAGATACAACGGGGAAGTCATGTCTGTTAGCTTGATGTGCATTCATTACATGCCCCCCCTTTATAGACAGGAGATCCATATTTACATCCATATTACTGGTTTAAACAAGTTACTGAAATAAATTGACCATACATTGTTGAATATCACATATTCACCTGCCCTGGATTCTGTATTAAAATACAGTTTTTAGTCTATTGCAGCAATTGTCTAATACTGATATTTTGGGGAAAATTTCACCCCTTCCCTTTTTTTAAGTAATGTGTAAGTGTGAATAGTGTGAAACTCTAAAAGAATATTTCAAATTGAAAAAAGCAAATAACCTCCACATACATATGGTCAACAAGGAATAAATTGGGATTTTCAATTCATCTATGGCTCTAATTATTTACAACAAAAAAAAATAATTCAGAAAAAGTGCCAGAGTTGAGTTAGCTATGAGACATTAATTATGATGGGATGCTGTCACAGAGCACAGTGGAAAATCTCTGATTCCTGCTTTTGTTAAAGGGAAACTGCAGACCCCTAAAGCACTTCAGTTTGCTGGAAAGCTTTATCAGTGAAGAATGTATCCTCTTTTTTTATTGCACAATGGAAATTGACACATTTATAAATTAAACTGGTTGCACCGCCCTTGAAATCAATCAGACAACAGGTCCTGTTACTTCCTGGTTTGGTTTGCTCAGTGGAGCTAAACTCAAGACGCTGAAATAGCTCAGAGCCCCTGGTTTTTGGACCCCCCGGACTCAGTAACGATACAGTAAAACTGCACATTTTAGAGTGGCCTTTTATTGTGGCCAGCCTAAGGCACACCTTTGCAATAATCATGCTGTCTAATCAGCATCTTGATATGCCACATACTCACACCTGTGAGGTGGATGGATTATCTTGGCAAAGGAGAAGTGCTCACTAATTTACACAGATTTAAACAAATTTGTGAACTATTTGAGAGAAATAGGCCTTTTGTGTACATAGAAAAAGTCTTAGATCTTTGAGTTCAGCACATGAAAAATTGGGGCAAAAACAAAAGTGTTGCATTTATAATTTTGTTCAGTCTAGATAGACCATATTCAGATACAGGTAAGTGCCCACAAGAAATCAATTTCTCAAGTCTCTCTGCGTACCCTAATTAAATGGAGAGCCCTCTGAAACAGGGCAGGGTATATGTCTTTTGCTGAATCCATTGTACATGATTATTATTTTTTTGGAGAATAAGACAGTGGTTAAAAATCACCACCATAAAAGCTTTATCAAAGAAAGGTCAGAGGACAACATTTTTGTCCTATCAAATTTCAAAGTGTCATAATAAGATTTGTTCACTAAACATTGAACCGTGGTGAACTGAAAACTCCTGCACCCAAGTTTTTTTATTTTTTTTTTTTTTAAAATGTATATAACCCGCTACTAAAAACTAAATCACAATGGAAATGTATTTTTTATAGATAGATAGATAGATAAATAGACGTGTCCCTTTAAAGGGTGTCCCTTTAAATGTAGTACACTAGAAAAGCCCATC